ATCGAAGATTCTTGGGGGGGGGCCATGGCCCCCTGGCCCCCCCCCTCGGATCCGCCACTGCCGAGGGTTCGTCCTCCGTCGCTTTGCGGCGGACATTCTTCAGCGAATGAGTCGGCGAGTGACATCCATAGCTTGCTGCCAAGCGAGTCATCCAGCCTGGCGGATCAGAGCTCAAGCAAACTAGAGGAGCATCGTCAACATCGCCATCATCATCGGCTTCCTTTGTGTGCTCCAGGTCGTTGTCGTCGAAGTTCAGCTTGTAATGTATTAATGTATTCACCCTCGACTTTACTCGAGAGAGAGCTGGCTGACCGCTTCTTCATTGGTTATTAATACAGGCTCACCTCTTCTTCATGCTCTTCCTCTTTCCGAAAAAATCATGCTAACAGCTCGGGATGACAATATTTATTATTTATTATATACTCTAAATCTTCACGGAGCGATTTCTTCTTTATTCACCCATCTGATCGAGTTCTTCCACCTTCCGTTTCCTGTCTCGCGTCGCGGGAGCCTTTTCGTCAGGTTTGGCCGATCGGCGCCGGGTTTGAGCTCGGAAAGGGTCTCGGTCGAAGATGCCGCAGAGTTTGATGGTCCCTCAAAGTCAAAATCGTTTCCCTCCTCCGGCGGAGCGTGTTCCCCTCTTGCACTCGAAACTGAGCTCGGCAACGAATTTGTTGAAGAGGGTCAGTTCATATTCTCAAACAAATGTGTTTTGTACAATGTTGAAACCCGACGCGACACCCGCGGCTGCGAGGAGTGCAAATCAGCCTCGTGCATGGAGCTGGCGGGCTGCTTTATTTTTTCTTCCCGCTCGTTTGTGGTTGCCATTTGAAAAATCACCCTCACGTGTTCGAAATTTCGGGCTCTGTTGATTTTGAATGATCCCTCAAACGGCCAGATCAAGCAGGGGTCTCCGCGGCCGCAGTGTGTTGGGCCGCTCCGTTTTCAAAGAGCCGTATTTTCCTGCGGATCCATACGAGCTCGCGATCTCTCAGCCGTCAAATAATTGTCTCAAACGCCTTTTGATCGCAGAATTCGGAACCCGCGAGCGATGGATGTCAAGACTAGGAGGATACATGAATGGTTATGAGATGGTATTTTATGCGCAAGCTCGTAAGAAGCATGACAGGTCTTCATTCTAAACAGTGACACTTGTCGCAAGATACTATTCACTCGCGGCTTTTTCCCATACCGGACTCTGAAATCTGAAGGGCAGGCGAAAACGATAGTCGACTATTGCAAAGGAGCGACAGCGGGTGTCACTCTCTCGGTCGCTGCCTCTCCCTACCGCGTGGCAAAATCGCTCAACCTCTTGTGTCACGCAGCTGGTCGAGCGAGCTCCGAATGAGAGTTCTGTCGCTAGGTCAGGAACACGGGGTACATTTGTAACTGATCAAACCCGAGCGGGTTTCTGCCTCGAAGGGGTGTCACAGGGCTTGCATCACGAGTGAGCTGCGCGAGTACAAACCCAAGATATATGTACCAGCTATTCATTCTTCGGCCGAATCAACCCTGAAATGTGCGAGGCTATCCACCCTGTTATGATCAAGAGCGACTCCTGGATGAGAACCGCTCACGGATCGTCTGCAACGTTCACCTCAAATACGCGCCAGAATACCGCAAACCAATGCACAGTGTAGGACCGCGACGACAAGTTCCGCAGGAGACTGAGATGATGGCACCGCGATACTCCTGCTACTCATAGATCCGAATGGGAGATTCATGCTGGAATCACCCGACCGCTGGGTCGATCGAGTGCAGGAGAAGCTGTGCCTTTCCTGTCGGTTCAGATCCGATCCGATGACTTTCTAGCTGATCGGCCAGATACATATATCAATGACACTTGATAGCGCATTGCAAGCCAGAGCTCGGAAATGCATTCCTATCGTAATTACCACAAATCAATAGATTGTGTCTGGCATCCTTGAATTCCTCTCGTGGCAGCTTGAACCCCGGATGGGAGAGAGAAGACGAGCAGAATTTTGGTGACACTCAGACAGAAGTTTATTGGATCATTCCGAAATGTTGTTCTTAGAAAAACACAATCAAATATAACAACTACAGGAGGTGGCAGACGCTATTTTCTGATCTTGAAGTCCATCATCGGTACATGATCGTCATGGACGTCTTCATAATTCTTATCCTCATTTTCATCATCATCATCATCATTATTAATATTATTATTATCATCATCATCATCAGCATCACGATTCACGATCATCATATTCATGGGTTTAATCATCCTCGTGGTCATTCTCATATTGACTTCATGATCATTGTTATCATCAAAACCATCGTCATCATTCTCTATTGAAGGAGGCAGATCGAGAACAAGGAATATTGATGAAGGATGAATGACAGAGAAATTAAATCCGAAAGAAGGAACCAATTCAAAGCAACTGCGATTCGAACGGAAATCTTCGTCGCCCCTCCACAACTAGTAAAGATGGTGTGTCCCTGATCCAAGGGGTCTTGAGACGCGCAGGCTCACTTCCACCACCTGACCGGCGATATATGATACACACGGATGTCCAAAATCCACCATGTGAGCAAGTCAACTTTAGATTATGCGACAATTGATCGTTCTGTCGATCGGGCAATCGATGCATTGCTTAGCGCTGCTTCATTCCGATCAGATGAAATCCCAAATCGCGAATTCAAGATCTCGGATCGCTGAGTGGATCGAAGGTGGATCAGAGACTGTACTTTGCCAACGGAAGATTATTCATGGGCGATCATTCAAGCGAACAGCTCCGAACAACGAGTCCAACAAGATGACAGCAGTAATGATGGAGGAGTCACACTCATAATGAAACGATAGTGATCGTCGCATATATAAATGGTACTGCGAGTGAATATATGAGAGTATTTGGGCGATGACAGCGGGAGTTCATTTGGAAGTCGACCAATGGATCCGTGCTCCATGTGGGAAAGACTTCGAGATCAGCCAGTTTTGCGCGTCCGGAATCGGCGTGCAAAAACGGTTCTTGATGATGTGTGTGAGTGTATGGTCAGTTCCAGTTTCATGGGATCGAATAAATAGCGAGGGGAAAAATAAATCTTCGGTTGGCAAAGTCCGTTTCAATGACACTGTAGCACAAACTTATATTACTTAGTTTCTCGTAGTGATTGTGCGGCGATTTTCGAGTCGATCGCCGCCGATATGCCTTGATTTGATTTCTCTACCAGCTTAATTAGAATCCTAGGGAATATATATTCATAGATCATTTCTCGTATTCGGTGTCGTCCCAAGTATACTCTCACCGTCGTATCAGTCTGCTGAGTCCCGAATATTTTTCTCCACTTCTGAAGTCTTCCTCTCGTTCGCTCCTCCGCTCGCATTTGTTTGATTCCATGCGTTCTCGCGGTCGGCAAGTGGTAATTTCGGCCGGCATACAGTTGGGCAAGTCCGAGTCGGAGGGCTTTCGAAATTTGTCACAGTAGTGGTAGTAAGAGCAGAAGTAAGAGCGACAGGTGATAGTTATCATGATTACAGTAGAATCAGTGGATATTGTACTAACAGCGATGGTAGCAACAATGATCGTTTTGGTATTCCTCCCCAAATACTCGAACGGCCGATCAAAGTCAGTATACTGAGCGGCGTTCCCGAGTGGTAGGACTGGTATCAAGTCTCCTGAGCGTGACGCAGACAAATACGCATCAAAGGAATTGATTCGGCCGGGATCGGAGATTACTCAAGGCGGAAACTTGGAAATTTTGATTGGATTTCTCACTCGGCGGAACACTCAGCATGACCACTGGCCAACTTTGACGTTTATCGTCCGCAGCCGTAGGTGTTTAAAAACTCATTACAATCAATATCTTCGATCTCACGAGATTGTTCATATCTTACACGATGGAGACCGTTCTACGCTCCCGTCCTTGTGGGTTCATGATTATAAGACTTCCTCGCCCTTATGACAGCTCCGCGCTCGCATTCGAGAAGGTCACGCAGAATCAGACTGAGATTCGGATCGTCGGAAGAAGACTCGGGGTTGAGTAGGCAGACAATCAATCCGTGTCCCGGGATCCTCAGAATTCCTCTTTTTGATGTTCCGATTCCAATTGGGAAAGAGTTGATACATTACGGATAGGTGGCAGATTTTTCTTCGTTCGGGGTGGTTGGGAGCACAAGAATAAGAATTATGGTGGAGAATTTGTAGATTAGTACACATATTTACAAGCAGCCCTTCTCGTCCGCCGGCATCGATTCAGGCTTTACCAGTGAGGGGTAAACTCGATAATTCGGTGTCCTACGAGATTGTTGCCGTCATTGAGGACTCGCAAACTGAGAGAGGTTGCTTAGTCTCCTATATTTTTTCTACCTTTCGACTCCGTTCGCTCAAATCGAGAAGACCACGCGTTGCAGAACACCGCGATCGTCAATAAGCTCTCAGATACTCTCGATAATGGTCATTCGCTCTAGCTTTGGCACGCATTTGGGGGGAGGGAAGATATCGGGCTTCGAGGACCTCGTGCCCCCGACCCTCGCCCACTTCTAACTTGCGTCTCGTTGGGACTCGTATGATTGGCTGTTTCGCCCTGAAGCACGTGATGTCGATCGTGTTGTCATCACTAGACGCCAAGTAGATATTTTTCTGTTTATTGCACTGTACACACATCGTCCATCTTCTGATCGGCAGCTTTCAGTGAAAACACATCCAGCTCAAATTCATAAAACGTAGAACTAATACTTGAGAGATATCACGGTGCTCCGACTCCACGAAGCAGTGGTACGATGATGATGATGATTATTAATATTTTCTTTCCATATCATGAAGAGAAGGGACAAAGAGGGGGATATTCTACAGAAACATGGGATCTGTCGCCTTGAGATTTCGGCGAGGTCGAGCCTCGTCGGTGGTTCATATGTGAGCCTCAGAAGGACGTCGACGATCCGGAGCAACGAAGGTTAACTCCGGGCTTCAATCCTTCCCTTTTATTCGTTCTTCTTCTCTCCATTCCGTTTCATTCCTTTCTCTAAGTCTCGCTTGAGGTGGTTCCGATTACTTCGTTCGTTTAACACTCCTTGTTCTTCGGCTGGGCTACAGACCTCATTCGATGGCCTTCAATGGGAGTTGCGCGGATCGAGAAAAAATCGCTTTTGGACGTTTCCTTGTTGTCCAACCAGCGGACTAGTTCGAGTCTCGGTCTGCGCGCACCCCCGGCAAGGTTTGACGTCGTCTCTGTGAAGTGATCTCGTGTCGTGGCGATGAGAATTTCGTCGATCCGTTCTGCACTTCACTTGCTGACTGTCGTGCTATTGTTATTATTGTTGTTGTGGTTGCTGCCAGTGCTGCTGCAGCTGTTGTTGTTGCTGCTGCTGCTGCTGTTGTTGCTGCTACCGTTGGTACCCTGCTTGACCGGCGTGATAGCACCACCGCTTGGAGAATCCCTCGAGATGATGGTTGCCGCTTCTGTTTCTTTCTTGATTCGTTTTGCAGATCGTTCCGGACTTGACAGAGGCGGCGGAGGGGATTCGGTCACGCCGGGACGCCAAATAGGCGCGGGAGAAGACGCTCCCTGCGAATTGCTACACGCTGGGGACGATGGCGGTGACGAAGCTGGCGGGGCCACCGGTGACGGTAGGGTACTCAACAGAGCGCTCCACGGGTCCAAACCTTGAGTCGATGAGGGTCACTGAATCTGCATGTAGGGCCAGTTGAAGGAGTTCCCTGGAAAACGAAACAAAGAAGAGGAGGAATTAATAACGCATCAACGAAGAGGCCGTTCTCTACGAGGCTAAGGATCAAGGGGCGAACCCCGAACTGATCTACATCATCGAAGCATGTTGTCCTCCTCGGTACGTCCGAAGAAAAGAAATCCCACAAAAAAAAGACATCCCCAGTCATGCTGGACTGGGAAGTCGAGAGACTTAAATTGTCGCAAAGAAGGAGACGAGCGTCAGGAAGGACAGCACGGGACGACGACGTCTAGTCACTACCGAGCTCAATGAGTCGGCAATGAACGAAGGTAACGATAATAATCAAAATTATAGAAGATAAACGAAGGAAGATTTCCGGGAGTAGCTGCCCCGAGAGGGGCCGAAAATGGATCCGATGTGTTCACGGATCCATTCGCATCGGAATGCTTCAGCGAGGGAAAACTTAATGAGGTACCAAAGGCATTGTAACTCACCAGCTAGAGGCATGCCGCTGCTTGTTGGGTACTCACCCAATAGCATGTCCCTTATCAAAGTCTCGATCGATGTTTTTCCAACAAGACGTACAAAGAACAGGTGCTCTATCGTCTGGGAGCTCACGGTGCGAAGCGATGGCAGTCGAAGAAGTAGTTTGCCGAATCGCGAAGGTTGTTGAGGGTACTGCGCTCGACAATATTCCTCAAGCGAAGACTGGGTTTTCTCCTGGAGACTTTCCACCTGCGTGACATCGGATAATCCGCAAGCATCTGCAAGGGAGAGAAATGAACGCTGTTAGGGACGAGCTGATTTCTCAACAATGAACTGATGATGGGGACGCTGATTCTCCGGATGCTTCATACGGCTAGAACGCGATTGCCAAGACGAAAACAACACCAACAACAATGACGACGACAACAAACTGAGCAGCAAAGACCAAGTTATCCAGTTGACTAATGGCGTCTAGCTATGCCGCAGTCTAGGCGGAACATTTTCATGAAACGAAAGAAAAAGTGTTGCTGCATCGTCGCCCTTGTCGTCAAGACGAAGCCGAAACAATGCGATGCGCGTCTCGTCGGGAGAAGTTGCGACGGATCGTCAGAATGATGATTTTAGTGTCTTACGACTAGCTCCCGCGTCGGCTCCGTTGGCGGACTAGCGAGTGCTGAGAGTGCCGCCGACGACGATATTCCAACGTTAGTAATAATTGCGACTTGGCTCGATTAAGCGCCGTTTTGCATTTGCTCGAAACGGCCTGTTGGCTTAGTTGTCGTTGCCGTCGGTGATGTCACACGGCATCTGGCACCAAGTGTCGGCCACAATGCTCAGCGAAAATAGTCTTCCGCAATCGGATGAAGTGAAAATCGCGGCCTCGAGCACCCCGTGTCTCCTCCTCCCGTTCTCCTGCACCTCCTCCTTGTCGATTCCGAACTATTCGAGCTGAGTGAGCTTTCCCTCTCTCGCGATCAGAAACCGTATATGTAGTCGTACGAGCATCCGCGAGTCGCTCGGTCGCTGTCGGTAAGCGTTGCCAATCTGATTTTAATTGCTCACAATCTCAGAGAACGAGCATTCGGAAAGCGCTTCTCAAATGATTTGTCGGCGGAGAGGCGGCGTTGGAGTCGCGCTGGAAGCCACATCAGCTGCCAAGTCCGATAGAGGTGAACTACTTGAAATGAATCCATAAACATAGCATTTAGATAGGCGCGAAGGAGCGTCGTGTTTCCGAACTGGTATTTTTGCGCTTCTTCCCGTCGCTGGCGGCTCGTCGGAAGGAGCCGGTTAAGCCCAAGGCCTCCATTCAGCAAAGCCGCCGACACTCCTTTACATAAAGTACTTCGGAATACTCATTCTTCGACGTTTTTCTTCTCTTCTTTTTTTCTCTCCCAAACGACGTAGATCTAATCGCCTTATGTTCCATCCGTCATTAGCTCTGGCGTGTGTGTGCGCCTATATCGTTGCGGGAGTCATCCCTTCGTTGAAGGATTGGAGTAAAACGCGAATAAGCGAGAAATGGATGGATAATCATAATCTTCATCATCATCGGTTACACCGGCTTCGTTGCAATGCGGAACGTCTCGATTCTCCATCTCTGGGAAGTGTCGTCTTTTTTGCCGAATCCATAGGTGGTTCTTCCCTCGATTTCGCAGAGCCTCTACCTACATACGTTCCGATTGGAAAAAACTTTTCGCCCAGGAAGTCGCTGCTCTTGGAACCGTGATAAACATACGAAGGACGCTCCGAACGATTGTACGAGGCCATGTCTGTGGATCAGACTCGATTCGGTCGAGCTTCCTCCTCAAACTTCATCTTTTCCCCGAATAAATATATCCGCCCGAGGCGTTCGCGGTGAATGCTGAAGGGTTCTTGGAGGAAATATCCTGCCATCAGCTGCCTGAACTCTTTTTGTTCCTGCTTCGGTCCCGTAATCCCCTCAGGTAAATCTGTAGTCTGCCCTGTCAAAAGCATTCCCGAGTCCCCATGGGTTGGCGCAGCGACGGCGCGCCGTTACTCTCAGTTTGTCTTACGCCGAGAGTTTGACGAATTCCTCCGTATTCGACCTTCACTTCCGGCTATCACGGGATTCGCTCGAAGGAACAGGCACGGGAGGATGGAGAACAGTCGGGATGAGCTGAGAAACCGAATAATGTCCTCGAATGCCGCCCACGACAACGTCTCTTGGGAGAGGACGCTCGTTCTCTCGAGTATGACGTGGGGACGTACACCATCTCCGTGGAGGAGGAACGGAGTCGTCCACGGTAAGCGTCGAGCCGACGATGACGAGTGAAGAAGCTGTCAAGGGGAAGAGCGCGAGATAGGCAACGCGGAGCCGACAAACCGCTCGATTGTGGCGCGAAAGCCGCGTCCCGGCTTCCCTAATGAGTTCGCAGGTTGGTTCGTAGCTCATCTCTCGCTGTGTACCCTTCAACCTTTGGGAGTTGTGGATGAAATGGATCAACGTGCAAATATAGTCCCTTTTTATCTCTTCGACTCCAAGTCAGTCAACATCGGGGTTCGGATCTCATCATTCCAGATTTGCTTTAGATATCGGAGAGAGGGAAAAAAACGACCGCGGGAAGCGCTCGAACCGCGAGACACTCGAGAGGTGTCGCCGGCCGACATCGTCGCATATGGATCCGACTGTTTCTTAGTGTGTCTCGTGTGTGTGCGTAAGAGTCTCGTTCCTCGACCGCGTTCGTGTCAATATAAAAACTTGCTATGCGAACTGGTTCATTAGCGAGCGATGGCACCTCATCGTCGAGTAGTGAGGACGCGCAGACGAACGAATCAGAGGGCGATCATATGAAACCGCACGAAACCAATCACGGAGCCTTTGATCAGAGGTCGTGAAGTGCGAAGCTCGCTCGCTTCGTCAAGGATACCCAGCCTGATCGCTCTTCTTATGAGCCTACGAGCCCCCACTCCCGCGTTTTCCTTTCATTTGAGTTGTCCCACATCTCCGAATCCACTTGACAAGCTAAAAAGGAAATTCCCGCTGCTCTCCGACGAACAGGTGGACGGAGACTCGATTTCGGCCAAATGCATCATCCACCGCTGAATCGTTATCGAGTTAGCACTGGTCGTTGCTGTCGCATTTTGTCGCAACATCGGCACTCTGGCCCACTCGACGAGCAGAGATCTCGGGCTCAACAGTTCCCTGCTCAAGGAATCGAAAAGCTTCACGATGCTGCTGGTGGTCGCTATCGAAAGTGTGCTCATCGATTTCCAGTCACAGGAGGCGTTCAGATGACGCGTATCAAGTACCAGCGTGTTCACTATGAAGCACGAACATAACGGCGATGAGAGCGAGGACGGCGACGAAGACGACGACGATCAGGAGGAATGATGTCTATCGAGGAGGAGAGAAAAAAACGGCCGCAATTTATATTCACTCATTATCACGTAGATTAGATATGCTATGCTGTTGATCGATGTTGGTGGTGTCACGACGCCGGAGCATTGCTTGTTCGACCGTTCGTCCACCCGTCGTTCTGTTCGTTCGTTCGCTCGACCGCCCGTCCGTCCGTCTATCCCTCCGTTCCCTTCGTTAATGTGGCTGGATTGTTAACCCACATCGCACAAACCTCCCCCGCGTCCTGTGACCCCGGAAAACAGCAGGGTAATTGCAATAACACATCGAGCCAACCGTCGAGCATCGACCACCGCACCATCAACAACCACGACGGCGACGACGACAACAACAACAACAACGCACATTAACCACTCCTCGTCGTGGGTACTGCGTTTTTTTGGCTTGCGCATTCAAGATGCTCGAGGAAAGTCTCATCGTTAATCTAATCGTTTTCATTAGGGGAATTAATTTTGGACGAATTCCTCTCATTCTGACCGCACGGTATGCCTCGGGATTCATACGCGGCGCCCCTTGCGAGGAGTTTCCGCCGGAAATGGAGAAATCGCAGGATCTCACCGAGGAGTGGCTCACATGAGGAGGTGAGCGAATGTCGAAGAGTTTTCGCTCCTGCATTTGTGAATGATCACCGAAATCATTCATGTATCGAAAATTGAAATTCGCAGAAGGGATCTTTCCCAACTTTGCGAAAGCGAAACTAATCCGCTCGTTTGGAAGCTGGACGCTTTCTCAATTCGATGTGAAGTGAAGGTGCGAACTCGTCGTGGATACTAAGCGAGCCGACATCGGAATCCGCGTTGTCGCTTCGCTCGGAGATAAATTCCACCACAAGATAGTAAACCTGCGGCCAGCACGAGGAAGAAAAGCGGAAAAACTGTCGAGACGTTCGAATTTTATTTTAGAGCTGCAACTTTCAGCACACAGACGAGCGGGCGCGCCATTGTCGATTCGCAACAATTTTGACCCCGCGATATCCGTGTTGGTGGTAGCGCTGCTTCTGGTAGGCGGGAGGGGGGGAGAACAGAACTTTAGCAGTCTCCGAGATCGTGTTCGATCTCAGCGAGAGAATTGACGAAATTCAGTGCATCGACGGAATTACCTGGACGATCCACCACCGCGATTCGTACTCGACCTCTGAGCTCGAGACCGCTACGGTGTACGCTCATGCGACTGCGAGGACCAAGGGGGCTACCGAGGAGGCGTCTTCAGCTGATTCACGGAGGACCAGACCATGGATCACCATTCTGACTTTATGCCAGATCCAGTCTTCGACTCAAACATTTCAGAAAACTTGAGGGCTGAGTAGTAGAATCCTCCATGGATTCCTATAGTCACAAAATCGGCTCCGAACTTTTTTTCATCTTCAATTTTTCTGGAGAGCTTTCAGGCGACTTCGATTCCTCTAACGTCTCGAAGAATTTTCGTGGAGTGGTAGAAGTGCGTTTTCTGCTTACTTTGCTTTGTTGCGGGTCCCAGTGAGCGAGTGGCTCCATATCTGCGGTCGGCAGACTGCGGCTGGCCGTCCGTCCGTCTCAGAGGCAGACGGGAGGACTGACTTGCCTTCTTGGCTGGTTAGATTCTCGGCAAAAGTCGTGACCCACGCCATAGCACCCCGATTGTCGGCTCGCCTCGAAAAATTCCACAACAATGTGTGGTGACTCCATTCTGGTTGTCGGTCTACGAGTCTGTCGGATTTTCTGTCCGCCGTGTTCGTTCGTTCGTTCGTTCGTTCATTCGTTTTGCCCGAGGCATGTATCCGAGGGTAAAGGGAGCCGAATGCGTGCAAGGAGTGCCGATCGCGAATCTGACCAAACTCGATGGCTGCTCCGAGCCATCACAACTCTCTGAACACCAGATTTCCCAACGTGGTGCAAAATTTCCCCAATATGAAACATACAT